ACACAGTCAGTTGGTGCCAAAATCAAGATTATTACTGTCAAAAAAACAGAGTCTCTGTCCTCTGTAAGTTTAAAAAGGATATGTACACATGAAAAGATAAATGAAAAACTAAGATAGCCAGTACTCATCAGTGTCTGATTAGCTCCATGAGTGTTTAGAAGATGTCATGACTCCTGGGAACTGAGCTCTCTCCCCACTGAATTCTTCTAAATGTTTCCAACATGGGTGTGACCATGGGCCCTGGTTGCCAGTGGTAGCCCTAAGAAATGAGCAGGGAGAGAGGAAAGAAAGGGAGAAGAACATGGAAATGAAAGGAAGCAGTAGGAGGAATATAGCATTGGAGAGGAAGAGACGTGATAGAAAGGAAGAAGAAAGACAGGACCATCTGCCAGGGCCCGGTCATCACACTGCCCCAAGGAAGGGGCTCCTCCAGGAGCCCTGGGGAATCCAGTCCCCACATTCGCAGCCTTGAGAGCCTGGTGTTTCCCTGACTTGGTCCCATGGTTTGTTCTCTCTTTTGCAGTTTTTCTACCTCCTCCACCCTTTCCAACCTCAACACGGAATAGTAGGAATGAGGATCTTAGTTTGTTCCAGGTTGGCTTCCAAAGTTCCCTAGTTCCCAAGAGCACAGAAAGGGCCCTTCACATGCTGACTGTTGGGTGCATTCTCTGAGAGCCCCGCGGCCCCTGCAGATTCAGGAGGGCACACAGAGCGCGGGCCTCAGGAGGGGACTGCCCAACAGTGTGTCCTCACAGGACCGGAGACACCAACACCAGGGTATCAACAGCAAGAGAATAATCTGTGACAAAGTTTTGTTTTTCTTTACTCCGTTCATTTTCACCCTTCGATGTTTCTATAGCAGTACAGCACATATTTTCAAAGGATCACTGAAGCTGTTTCATTTATTTAAGGGGTTTTTTGTTTTGTTTTTTGTTTTGTTTTGTTTTTTTTTTATTAATTCTGTAAAAACATTCATGCCCCTAAGGTCAGAGTGAATACAATGCTTTTCCCAGTGGCAGTTAGCACAGATGGCTGTGTCCAGATCTTGCACCCAGGCCTCTGGGTTCTTGTTCACACTCCTTCTTACTGACTCCCTGGTCCCTTTTCACTTCTATCCCAGGCCCTTAGCAAGAGCAGTAACCAGGGAGGCCAGATGAGATGAAGTGACCTTTGGATGGAGGGTCAGGAAATCTGGTTTTCTATTCTCGGCCTATGCCTCCCTGGCCTTGGTATCTTATTAGTCTCCTAATTATTCAAATGAGGAGGTTAATTGGATAACTGCCAAGATCCCTTTCTCTCTCACACGCCTGGTTTGAGGAAGGGTCCTGTAACTTCTGCCTAGGAGATAAGTGTCACAATGCGGAAGTGCTTTCCTGGGGATGAGGTTGTCCCTTACACGGCTAGAGTCCAGCCTCAGCTTTTTTTCTCTTTAGTCTGCACGCTCTCCCAGGGCCACCTCCTTCAGCCCTCCCTGCAAGCTGCACTCCCCTCTGAGCCCCACCTGTGCATCTTGATGTCCCACAAGTGCCCTAATTCAGCAAGTCCAGAACTGATGTCTCTCCCCCTTCCTCTTCCTAGTCCCCTACTGCGGTGAGAGGCATCACCATCCAGAGTCGCCAAATTAGAAACCTCAGGGAGGGGACAGTGCACTTCTTTCACTGCCTCTTCCTCCAACCCCTACGTGCAATCAGAAACCAAATTACATCTTTTATAAAGTATCTCTCAAATCCCCTACTGCTCAACCAGTCCCTCTGTCTCTACTGCGGCTTGAGACTATGACCTCTGCATGGGTCACTCGCCCACCCTCCCCACCCCCGTCACCACTGTCATGCTCTGTGGCAGGGCCACACTGCAGTGCACATCTGACCCCGTCATTCCAGTCTCCTCAGAATGGAATCCGAGCACCCAGGTGTGGCCACACTGGCCTTGGTCATCTAGCTTCTACCCATCCCTCCACCCCCATTTTCTCACAGCCTTCACTCCAGCCACATCAAATGTTTGCATTTCCTGAAGCTCTCCACACTCCCCCCCTCCTTAGTTCTCCCTCCACGTGGAGTACCTGACCCCCACCCCCACCTGCACAACACTCATCCTTCAAGCTTCATCTCGGAGATGCTGACCATTGGGAAGTCCACCCAGTACATACATGTGTGTGTCAATGTCTGAGTGATTCACTGTCATGTCAGATGGGTCCTCTGAGTCTCCACGTGTTATGTGCCAGGATGTGGGACAAATGTCACATAGTTTAGACTTTATTGGAAGAATTAAAAAGGCCAAAGGTCACAAGAGAAGCCACAGACATGTCCCCCTTAAGTCCCCCACCTCACAAAGAGGTGTGCTAGGTCCAGGAAGCCACTGGTCTGCAGTGTGGGGCTGCATCGCAGCAGAGAGGACCAGGACCCCTCCACCTCCTGGCTTTTCTCTTTTTATAGGGAAATCAAGCAAGGCAGAGCAGCCTTGTAGATGAGGGAATAAATAGACTGCTTGGTGCCAGGCAGTCTGGGTTGGGGGTGCCAGCTGTTTACAGGAGTTGTCTGGGAATGCTGGCTTCCCAGCACATAGGGCCCTTGGAGCCTTTGGGATATTACTGTTCTCCCTTCCCTGGGGAAGAGGTGCTCTAAGCTTGGGTGCTGCCTCTCTCAGAAGGTTTAGACACCCCAGAGGGAGCTCCAGTGGTACTTTAAGGTAGTTCGGCTGGTTGTTCCACACTGACAATGAATGACTAGATGGATGGGTGGGTGGATGGACATGTAAAAGTAATTAGCACATATGTAAACATATGAAAATGCCTGACACCTAGTGGGTACCCAGCTCATGTTTATTTCCCTTTCCTTGTCTTCCCTTCTCATCCCAGTTCCAACTCCGTGGGTTTCCACGGAGGTTTCTGGGGTACAGGGGAGGTGGCTCTGTCATCTGGCAGAAACATGAGAGCTCTGACCATCATGGGGATGGGCCTGTGTGGCTGTCTGACAGCCCCACCCCCTTCCACAAGTTTCCTCAAGTTGCACTGTGCCCTTTTGTTTCCTTTTCAACACTACTCTGATGTTCATTTTAACACAAAGTAACCTAATTTTAGAAGATTGGAGGCTCCCACACATTGTGATTTGTACCTGGGTCACAGCTCTTAGGCAGTCTCATCCCCAGACTAACTTTATGATGCTCCAGTGGGTAGAAAGTAAAGGATGGTTGCCTGCCTCTGAGATGCTGATTCAATCCGAACTCTCCATTCCCTTCCCACAATTGCTGCCTGACCTGGGCCTGCATCCGCACACAAGCCAGTGGTTCTTAAACTTCACATACCTCAGAGACACCTGGAAATTGTTTGTAATGCACAGTTCCAGGCTGCATAACCAGGAGATCTACTTCAGTAGGTCTGGCTGGGGCCCAGAATTCTGCATTTTTTTTAACTTTGCATCCTTAAACTGCTTCACCCCAGGGGTAAGGCCAGTAGGGGATCCAGAAAGAATGAAGGGAGCACAGGGACATGCATGGAGGGACCTCTTCCTGCAGAGCTACCCATCAGGCTCCCAATGCCCCCATCTCGGAGCACCCTCCAGCAGCTCGGTGGAAGGAGGAGGGCCTTCCCGGGTGACGCTCACTCTACAATGTGGGTGGGACTGGAGACCTTCAGTGAGCTGCACCTGACCTGGTAGAAGATGGGAAAATAGGTCTGGGTGTTCTGAGTTGAATGCTTCCTGGAGGTTGTGGACGGGCCTGTCCTGCTTAGAGGACTTGTGGCCTAATGCCACATGGACTGTTGTTTTTGTGGCTCCAGTGAGAGATGGGCTGAGGGTCCTGCAGAGGCGAGCAGTGGAGTGTGAAGAAACAGGCAGCAGCCGTGGCTTGATGGGGGCCATTAAGGATCGGCACTGGGGATGGTTGTGGGAGAAAGCAATTAGTGGTGCAGAAATCTTGCGAATCAGCCCAGAGTCAGCTTGCTCTAATTCAGCCAAAGAGTCTCTCCTGTTCAGTGTGGGTTCCCAGGGTCAGGAGCTGCAGCCTTAAATGCAAAGCCCTTCTTCGAGGTGGCAGAGGGAAGAAATGACTGCCTACCTCCTGCCCCTGAGAAAAGAGATGAACCTCTTCCATTTACTATCCCCATCCCAGTGCCTGTCTCCATCCCGGAAATGCTGATTTTCACTGCTAACCTGCTCTATGTCTTTGGACAGAATTTTATTTTCTCCAGAGAGAGAGTTCAAATTTTTGGACGTGTGTATGTGAGCAGTTTTGCCTGTTTCAGCTGCTGTTGAGAGATCTTCAGTGTCTCAAACACAGCTGTGTGCTTGCTCTTTTGGAGAGCTCAGCTGGTACTCTCCCAAGACTGTGTTGTCTCCAGGGTTTGTTACCTTGAACCATGGCACACTCCTCCTGCGGTCCTTTCTCAGCACCCTCTCCTATGTCCAGGCATTGTTTCCCTTTTCAGTGGTTCTCAACCTGTGGGTCGCGACCCCTTTGGCGGTCGAACAGCCCTTTCACAGGGGTCGCCTAAGACCATCCTGCATATCAGATATTTACATTACGATTCATAACAGTAGCAACATTACAGTTATGAAGTAGCAACGAAAATAATTTTATGGTTGGGTCACAACATGAGGAACTGTATTTGAAGGGCCAGAAGGTTGAGAACCACTGCTTTAGATCAAGACATGATGGGTTCTCTCCTGAGAAGGTACTATGACATATTCACTGATTAAGTAAGATGTTTCCCCCAAAATGTGTAATTTTTGACCATTATAATATTTACACTTTAACAGAAGATATTTAAGGACTTAAAAACAAACAAAAAACCTAATGCCCAGTGCATTGGAATTCTAATCATGAAACAGACTGTGGAGTTACTAATTTGTCTTGGGGGTCCTACCCAGTGTCCCCTTAATTCCTCCCATGGGGGTGGGGATAACATTCTCCCCCACCTTTTGCGAGAGTTCATGGGGCAGAACTTTATAAAACCCCCAATCTAACAATTTTCTTTTTCTCTCTCTTCTATTTTTGTTTCCTAGGAACGAGTGGAATATCTCTTTCTCATCATTTTTACTGTGGAAGCATTTTTAAAAGTAATAGCCTATGGACTTCTCTTTCACCCTAACGCTTACCTCCGCAACGGGTGGAATTTACTAGATTTTATAATTGTGGTTGTAGGGTAAGTACAGCTACCCTTCTCTACTTCCTCCCCTCACCTCTGCCGCCAACCAATACATATCTCTTCCCTTCTGTGTTTATATCTCCTTTTGATCTGGTCACAGTGGCTCTGGGCGCAGGCAGAACAAGAGGACTTACTAAATATCTCTTTGAATTCAGATTTTCTCCAAAGGGAAAGGAGCCATTATCTAGGAACCTCCTCACCACTACTCTCTCTCTCTCACACACACACACACACACACACACACACACACACACTCACACACACACATGCATGCATGAGTTGAATGTGAGTACTTTTGATGGAACCCAGGGTCCTTCATGCAACTTAGGACAGTCCTCTGCTTAAGGTGTTTTCTTCCATCTCCAACCACACCTGGCCTGACAGCGCCTCTGACCAATGTCCCTGCTGTGTCACTGAGCAGATTAGTTCAGCTTGCCTGTGAGCATGCAGTCCCTGGGCCTGGTTGGGGCTGGCACACAAGCACTGCAGATGCCCCCTCTCACCTCTGCAGTGAGCTTTGTTCTGTGGCCAAGGAACCAGGCTGCTCAAGATAGGTGGGTGAGAAGAAACAGGGAACTATGAAGGACCAAGATGATGAGTAGCCAAACCCAAATCAAACACAGCCTCCCCTTGACATGCTGCTGGATTTTAGTATCAGATGAGGCAAAGTCAATATATGCTTTTTTTAAAAAAAGCATTGTATGAAATCTTAAATAAAATTTAGAAGTAATCTTCTCATCGAGGAATTAGTAACTTCACAGAATGATTCTCTGGGACATACTTCTACCTAACAAGCCTACATCTGCTATGTGAGATGTAATTTATTAGCACACAATGGTTGAAGTTCCTACGACTCGGCTGTTTTCTAAAGGGAGGGTCCCTTTGCAGCAAGATTTCACTTTAAGAACTAGCTGGCTTCTTTGAGCCCAGGGAGAGCTCAAGTTGTAGCCACCTTGTGTTTCCACTGCCTTGGAGTTCGGACGGGCTTCATTGTCAAGGTCAATATGTCATTTGGCTCTTACCCCAAGAAACTATTTTCCTGAATCCTTTTGTGCTGTCCCAGTGAAGACCAAGGCCTCACAGTTTCTCCAGAGCACTCGCTGCTTGTGATCTCATGGGAGTGTCTGGTCTTTCCTGAAGGAAATAACACGGGGGCAAATCGAGGTCAATTGGAAGTTATGTCCTTGTCTCTGGCCATCTGGATGGCTTGTGAAGGTTTGGAACTGTTTTAGAGTTTTTACTTTGTTGTCCTTTTTTGCCTGACCAATGAGTGACACACTTGGGCCACATTAACATCAGGGATATTTGGGTGACTTGAGCACTAAAATCAGACTGTTTGCCAGGAATATATCTGGTTCCAGAGGACTCAGAGTGAGGAGGCAGTTATACAAGAGATTTTGCCAGAATTTCATGCCAGAATGCACAACAAGTGACTCCACAAATGCCTTGAATTAACTCAGTAAAACATAGCAGAGGTCTTTAAGGTGGGTTGTTCCAAATGTCCCTGAATCCTTTTTAAATCCAGCATCTTTTGCAAGGCCTCAGTCTACTGGGAACTTTTCATACATGTGTGGAAAAGAGCCCCAGGCTGAGCTCGGGTGCTTCTGGGAGCCATGGAGAGACGAGGTATCTTGCTGGGACCAATTTTGTTTAGGCAAGGACGCTGCTTTCTCTCATGTTTATGAATGAATCAGACTTGACCAGATACAGCTCCGTGCTCCATTCATGGCCTTAACTAGAGCACACGAGGTGAGAACAGGCAGCACTGGTAGGCATCCAACAGGAGCCCTGGGATGGGGGAGCAGCTGCCGGCCAGGCCTGCGCACTGGGAAACCCTGCTCATCTCTAGCTTGTTTAGATTCCCCTGCACCTCTTGTACTGCTTCTCCTTCTCACAACCACAGAAGGTGGACTTTTTGTGGGTCATGTAGATTCTGGTCACATCTCCCTGGGGTCTAGACCATGTGCCCAATGGAGAAAGGCAGGCATTCTTCCAAAAGACACCTCTAGTTGACTCTAAGCCTTTTGCTCACCTTGTGGTTCAGCGTGACCCTTTGAGTTCTTCCCCATTAATATCACACGTGGCCATGTTTGGGACCTAGTTTCTCTTCTCCATGGGCACTGGTCCTGGGGGATTTCCATCCGGTCTAAATCTCAGCCAATCCTGCTTACTAAAAAAAATGGCGCACATCCCTCCCACCCCCCACAGAAGGTGTAGCTCAACCACCTCTGTTCAGCCGAGCCTCCCATTCCTACTGTCTTTACAGTATTAAATGGGTATCCCTGTTTCCCTTGTATCTCCTAGTAAATACCTGCTCTCCTTGGCACTCCCCACAGCTATTTAGGGGAAGGTCTCTCCTGCCTCCTTCAGGTCAGGAGAGTCTGCCTGGGGGTGCCCCCAGGGAGGGGAGTACCTGCCTGCTGCCGGAGGACCAGGTTGAGAGCCCCTCTCTCACCTCTGCATTGCCCTTCCGGTGGTCTGTGATGAGGCATTTCCTTCCTCCCACAGACCTGTCACATTTTCATCCTAAAGTGGGGTTAGCTCCTTGGTATGATGGGAGATGCTGCTGCTGAGTGAACATAGAGAGGACTTCTGGGGGTGAGCTACCCCGCCCCCAGCCTACCCTGAGAACTGGGGACTCACAGTAGCTCCATCCACTCCAGACATGCTGCGGGAGCCACAAAGGCTTCTGTCTCCCTCCTCATATGTTGGTCCTGCCTCACTGGGGCCTCTGGAGCCTCATTGCCCTGTTCTTTTAAAAGCTCTAATGTTCAGCTAAGGAACCACCAGACACACCTCCCTGCCCCCCCCCCCCCCCCCCCCCACACACACACAAAGCATCGGCATCTGAACCTAGCCCTTAGGACAGGTAGGCACCAAGCCTGGTCCCACCTTTACAGTGTCTAATGAGGAGAAACACAGCAGTCCCCACAGGCCAAGGCAAACATCCTCCAGGCCCGTCCCTGCATTTCCTGCATTTCCTACCCCTTCAAAACTAAAGACAGACACTTAATAAAGAGTCTGCATCAAGTTGGAGCAGGGGTTAAAAGACAGGAAAGTTGTCTACTCTCTGCTCCCTTCACGGAATAATATATGGTGAACATCTTGTACTCTGATAAGCATATTGCTTTCTTTCAGGAAATACTAGCAACCACATCTGGTTTGGATTTGGAATGCTATCTGACCAACTTGTGAACAGGTCTCCATTTCCATGATCTAGACTTCAGTGGAAAGAATATTTCTCTGTGGAGAAAGGAGCCCGCTCCCCCACTCTGGCAAACCACTGCCTGGGATTCCAGGCATCACAGCTAACATGTGAAGCCATCAGATTGCCAAGCCGAGCTGAAAGAATCATGGAGCACACAGAGACTTTAGATGTGGTCTGGCCAGGGTCATCTAACTCCTTTTAGCTGCAGAACCCATTCAAACAAAGCCTTCCTCAGAGGCCCAATGCAAAACACAGATCAAAGGGAGCCCACTGTTAAATATGGGGAAAGGATCCAGAACCCCAGTCACTCACCTCTGGCCTCGCTGCTGGAGATGCCCCCAAGGTTCCATGGAGCACAGTTTGAAAATCCTTAACCTAGACCAGTGGTTCTCAACCTGTGGGTTGCGACCCCTTTGGCGGTTGAACGACCCTTTCACAGGGGTCGCCTAAGACCATCCTGCATGTCAGATATTTAGATTACGATTCATAACAGTAGCAACATTACAGTATGAAGTAGCAACGAAAATAATTTTATTGTTGGGTCACAACATGAGGAATTGTATTTAAAGGGCCAGAAGGTTGAGAACCACTGAACTAGACCAACTTCATTGCTGGGCCCTGCCTGGATCTGAGCTTCTGCAAAGCTAAGCCTGCAGCTACAGCCTCCCATTTCCAGGTCCACTGCTCTGGGTGTGAGTCATTTAAGGCTTGAGTCTAGTCCTCAAAACAAAGTTGCCCCAGCCCTGAGTTCATATCTGGTAAGGGAACCCAGTTTTCATACCTGGACTTCCTTCTTGACCCCAGACCCTGGCCCAGCACACTCTCCACTGGCAGTGAATCAGTAGTCATCTCAAGGTACAAAGGACAGAAATTGTCCCTGTGTACCCTTTCCCTATTGCTCTTGGTTCCCACAAAAAGTCTCAGTCTCCCATCCCATGTAGGCTGTGTCCTCTGATCTGCACCCTTCTCCCCTCCACCCCACTCCTGAATCCTGCCCACTGTGCCCTCTGTGCCCACTGTGCCCTCTGTGCCCCACAGTCCATCTCCACTCAGGGGCAGCAGACATTTCTGTAAAGAGTCAGGTAACAGCTTTTCAGCTTAGTGAACCCTGCAGTCTCTGTCCCAGCTATTCAATTCTGTGGGGAGAGCACAGCAATGATGTAAGGGAAGGGTGTGGCCAAATTCCAGTTAGACTTTATCTTCTGACCCCTCCTTTCACTTTCTGGCTTTAACCTGAGGGTCCTGCTCCCCTTGCAGTCTCTAGAGATGGCCCATTTCCCTCCCAGATGCTTCATTCCACAGCCCAGAGGTCAGGAGAGTGGCCCCGATTTCCCCTTCTTTCTGCTTCCGACCACTGTTCCTCCCACTAAAATCCTCCACTTTTGATGTTTGTGTCATCGGACACTTCTGTGGCCCACATCTCCTATTGTTGTCCTCTACAGACCTTTGAGTCACTCCACATTCCTTGAAGAGTGAGCTCTTGGCTCACTCCCACTCTCCAGCACTCACTGCTCCGCTGTTGCCACCACCTTCCCTGCTCTGGGAGCTTCTTCCCTAGGGATCACGACTCATCCTATTTCAGCTGCCCACTCCCATGATTATACCAATATCCCTGTCATTCCCTAATAACTACACCCTCCCTATAATCTCAAACCAAACATTCTACTCTAAGCAATACCACCATCTTTCCAGCTCACTCCCTCTAGCACTTACCTCCAACAATCCATTCCATTTGTCCTGCCACATCTGTCTGCTCCTCCTCCCATCATGTGCATTCCTCCTTCCAACTGGCTTAGATGCCACATCCCATCATTATAATCCTTCACTTGCATTTATTCTCAACTTTTATTCCTCTCTTCATTTGTCTTGCTCACCAGTCCTGATCAAATCCAACTAGATGGAGATTTTTTGGTACCTGAAGCTGTGCCATTGAAAGGGGAGAGACATATGCAAACTGAAGCTAATGGGTCTCACCACCAACCTCGAATAGGTCAACAGTGATTCCTGGCAACCATGCTACATGTTCCTACTCACTCTTCCACTTTCTCTATGATTCTTTAATGCCCTTGCCTTTCTCTTCAGTCTTCTAATACCTCCTCCCCTTTCACATTTTTAGCTACCTGTTTCCCTGGGAACACAGATGCAATCAAAAGAGAATTTTCATGCATTCTCACAACCACATCTGTGCCCCTATAATGTGCCTCCCAACCTGAACCATGATAAACCTCCCCACCTCTATATAAGGCCAGCATCCCTAAGTGTGTGTTAGGTCCCATCCTGCCTACTGAGGGACATCGGTCCTTTGAGTAATTGTCCCCTCTGTGTCTGCATCGTCAAATTATCCGACTCTGTTAGATGAGTCCCATCACATTTAAAAATGCTACCGTATCTTCATTTAAAAACAAACAAAACACTTGATTCCATACCGCTCTGAAAAACTACCATTTTTCTCTAATCCTTTTTATAGCAAAATTCCTCAAAGGAGTTGTACCGTAGCCACCAGATACATGTGGCCATTCAGCACCTGAAAAGTAGCTAATCTGAATTCAGATATGCTGTAAAATACACAGTAGAGTTAAAAGATTTAGAACAAAAGACAGAGTGACAGCTATCTTATTTAAAATTCTTTACTTATATTTATTACAGATAAAATATTTTGGTTACATTGAGTTACAAAAATATATTGTCAAAGTTAATTTCACCTGTTTCTTTTTTACTTTTTTAATGTGGCTGCTAGAAAATTTAAATTATATATGTGGCTCACATTTGTGGCCTGTATTATATTTCTTTTGGACAAAGCTGTCCATTCTCCCTTTCTCTAGTGCTCCTCCTGTTCTCATATCTATTAGGTTTTTGTTCCCATCACTCTATCAAAACCTGTTTGCATGGTCTCATTCGTCTTCATATTACTAAATTCCATGGTCAGTGGTCCATCCTTGTATCTGTAGCACTTGATGGTTAACCACTCTCTTCTCATGACCAGTTCTTTCACAGCCCTCCATTCTATCTACTTGTCTCTTTTATTGGTTTCTCCTCTCCTTCACTCCTCGGTGTTGGAGCCCCAGTGTTCAGTCCTATCACATCTTCACTTTCTACATTAGCCTCCTAGGTAATCTCGTTGGATTTGACTTTAATACAGTGGACACAAGTATCAAGTGTTTGTCTCCAGCCTGGAGTCCCCACCCCCCAGAAGTCCCTACCCAATAGAGCCTACTAAGACATCTATTCAGATGTCCAACTGGCAGCTCAAACTGCACAAAGTTTAAAATAGAACCCTAGATGTGCATCCCCCATACCTCATCCTTCCAGTTGCTCAAGCCCAAACTGTTGGAATGGTCTTGATTCTTCTGTTTTTCTCACAATTCACATCTGGTTTATCAGCCCATCTCATCACATCTTTCTTAAAGTAAATCCAGAATCCGACTATTCCTCATGACCTCCAACACCACCACCTGGTCTGTGCCTCCCCACCTGGATTAATACAGCAGCCTGCCCTGGCCTTGTCCTACTACAGGCTATTCTTCCCACAGCATTAGAGTGATTCTTTTAAAACCTTAGTCAAATCATGTCACTCTCCTGCTCAAAACCTCCCAGTGCCTTCTGACTCAGAGAGAAAACTGGTAGGGCTCCCTGCTTCCCCTCCACCTTCATCTCCCACTGTGTCTATTTACCTGCTTTGCACCAGCCACCTTGCCACTTGTCCCTCTAATGTACTGCCATGCTGCTCCCTCAGGACCTTTGCACCGACTGTTCCCTCTGCGTCCACTCCTGCACTGTCTTTAGGTCTCTGCTGATATGTCAGCCTAGAAGCGAGTTCCTTTCTTAACCTTTTGATGTCAAACAGGAAGGCTCCCACCCTGGCCCCTCCAGACTCCCCTTCATTGCTGCATTTATCACTCTCTAAATCTGATATACATTTATTGATTATTTGGTTTATTGTCTGACTCCTTCACTAGAATGTAAGCTCCAAGAGGGGGTAATGACTGTCTATTTTGCTGTGGCCTTGGTGTCTAGAACATTACCGGGTGCATAGGTGTTCGCATTTATTGGAGGGATGGACATACAAGCAGAAACACAGAGCAGCAGGACTGCAATTTTCATGTCTTGGTTACATGCCTTAGTGTGTGGTATTGCTCCTGTTGGAAACTTACTCATTCAATCATTTATTCACTTGTTCATCTTATTTCCTTTGAGCATCTATTGTGCCGCCACAAAGTAGATTTCTTTGGGATCATTTATTTGCACCCAGGTACAAATCAAATAGATGGGGAGGAGAAAGAATGTGGTTCCAGGCCACATAAGGGCAGCAGCTAGGATATCACGGAGGGGCCAGAGGGCACCGCAAGGGGACAGGAGGCCTGGCAGCAAACTTCATTTGCTTTTCACTCTGTCTAAGGCTGCCCAGCTCACAGAGCCAGATGTGTTTTCACAGCTTTATGTTGGCAAAGGGCCTGCCTGTGGCCTCGCTCAGACTTCTCTAGGCAGTGGCTATGCCCTGTATACCCACATGATGCATTGTCACCTTCCGATGGCACAGACCCTCCTGGGCACACACCTCAGCACTTGCTGAGGTGGAGATGGTCACAAACTGCTCCCCAGGCCTCCTTCCGAGAATTCAGAGTCCAGCTGAGCAAAGAAACACTGTCTGACAGTTTCTTCTCTCCTTCCTCTCTTTTAGGCTTTTTAGTGCAATTTTAGAACAAGCAACCAAAGCTGACGGGGCAAACGCTCTAGGAGGGAAAGGGGCTGGATTTGATGTGAAGGCGCTGAGGGCGTTCCGCGTGCTGCGCCCCTTGCGGCTGGTGTCCGGAGTTCCAAGTAAGTAGAGCCATTCTTCTTATTTGTCAACACCCTCCACTTTCCTTCTCAAATTGCCAAGAGCACTTTGCAAAGGAACCTGATTTCCCAATAAATGGAGATTTTGCCTAAATGAGATCCTTTGCTTTTAAAAACCCAGCTCTGATGTGAGTCCATTAAAACACACTGTGGTCCAGCTCCTGTAAATACTTGGGAAAAAAACAAAAGCACTCACAGCCAAATGAAGACAAGTTTGCACAGACCAAAGAGCCTTGTGGCCAGCTGAGCAGCCCTGCCAGGCTCTGGGCTGGGAATTTAAATACATTTGTGGCAAAAGCGCCAGGTGAGCAGAGACAGCTAATCCCCAAGGCTCGCAGGGTATTTGAACCAATGGGATTAACTCTACTCTCTGTATTTTGCCAAAGAACAATCAGAAAAGCACCAGTGGATGTTCTAAAAGTTTAATTTTGCCATTTCTTCTAGTTCCTCCTCCTTTCATGTCAAATGAGGCATCTCTTGCCACAGAAGCCCTATTAATGGACCCCGCCTGTCGTAATGAGAACTGGTTTCACCTGAGGGGTGGAGGGTGTTAAGTAATCTCAAACAAGTAGAGTGTTAGGGAGATATTGTCCATCAGGACACCAGTCACATGGACAGCCCCCTCCATGGTGCCCCCAGAATTCTGTCCCATTGGGGATGAGGCCCGGGCACTGAACACAGCAGCTTCAGGCACCTGCATCAGCTCCAGCAAACCCAGCCCATGTTGCTCCTGGGGGCTAAATCAGCTTTCGGGGAGCTTCTCCTTTTCCTTGCTTGATTTGTGGTATCTGAGCATAATTCTGGACTTGTTTGCAGAGAGTTTACACTCTCAAGTCAGCTCCATCAGATCTGGCTCAAGACTTAAGGCAGAGGGGGTCCCTATGACCAAGCTGGAAGCAAACTAGTTTGGGGATGGGGGCAAGGTCAGCAAAACAAAGAGGTCCTCTGAACACCCAGCCTTTACCACCTACCCCGGGGACGGAGCACTTGGTGACATTATGCTGCTTGGTGATATATCTTAGAGTCATAAAACCATGGAAATGTGAAGGACCTCATAGTAACCTGTTCAGTCCTTTGTTTGTTTGTTTTTTCTATTTTTTTGTTCAGTCCTTTTTGTACATGCACAGAATAGTGAAGAGATCGTCTCCAAGTAACTTAACCAGCAGCAGAGCATGGCTAGGACCAGGTCTCCCAACTTTCTAACCAGCTCTTTCCTACCACACCCCAAGACCTCCAGTAAAGAATTAACTGTTGATTGTCTTAGACTTGTACACATATATCCTGTCTCTTCAATTATATTATAAGTCCCTTGAAGCCCAGAACTGTGCCTGATATTGTCTCTGATTCCTGCACAATGTCTAAATAGTCTCTGCACAAGGCAGGGCAGTTTACTTGGTAAATGAAGCAAGAATTGGACTATTTTCTTGGCAGTGAGGCCCCCTGGGCAAGGCTTATGGCCTGTCTTAAACTGGACATAGAGCTAAATCACACAAACACATGCAGAGCAGATTCTTTCTATGTGGCCTTAAACACTGGGGCATGTAGGGATAGAAACATTATATATGACGCCCAAGACCCAATTCCCCTTTTCTGAAGCTTGAATAATTTAGGTTTTCTTGGTCAACAGCCATATCTCAGTAGACCAAAATCAAGGGTGAGAAGGCAGGGTGAGAATGGCTTTGAACATGACTTTAAGGAGCTTATCATGAAGGTGCAGCCAACGTGTCAGTGATATGAATCATTCATTGATTCCAAACTTTAGCTAAACAAGCTACAGTGGACATAATGACTCACTGTTGTGTATGTGCTTATTAGGGGCCCACAATTTCAGAGCATTGTGGTGTGTATGAGGACGTATCATAAAGAATAAAGATGGCCCTAGTCGGTTTGGCTCAGTGGATAGAGCATCGGCCTGCGGACCAAAGGGTCCTGAGTTCAGTTCTGGTCAAGGGCATGTACCTTGGTTGCAGGCTTTTCCCCGGCCCAAACCCTGGTTGGGGCTTATACAGGAGGCAACCAATCGATGTGTTTCTCTCACATCAATGTTGTTTCTCTCTGTCTTTCCCTCTCTCTCCCACTCTCCCTAAAAATCAATGGAAAAATATCCTCGGGTGAGGATTAACAAAAACAACAACAAAAGAGAATAAATATGGTTCTATCACTTGAGGAATATGATAGTCTAATAAAGAGGATATCAGTCAGCTTTTACCACAGGAACAATCCCAAACTCACAGTGACTTAAAAAGGAACACATGTACCTGGATTGTGGTACACAAGGATGTTGGCCAGCCGAGCTGTGCTGGGCTCACCGGGTTCTGCTTGCCGTCTGGATGCAGCCCAGCCTGAAGAAGCGTCCAGCATGCAGGCCATGTTGTTCTCATGGCAGAGGGCAGACAGACACTCACAGAGGGGGCAGAAAGCTAAACCACACAAGCGTATTTTGTTTTTGTTCAAATATGTCTTATATCACAGCTGCTCACATTCCCATAGCCAAAGCAAGTTGCATGGCCATCTTTGTCCTAAAGATAATGGGACAAAGAAATATATCGTACTTACAGAGAAGCATGGGGGAATAATTGTGAACAAGTAGTACAATCTGTCACAAAGGGATTGAGGAGAGTGTTATTAACAGAAATAGTTACACTAATTACTCTAGTACAGAGATTTGTAATTAGAGATGCATATGGCTGAGAACCCTCGTGCTTTAGTGCATGAAAAGGGAGAATTTGATAGAGTAATGGGGGCTCCACTGTAGAAGAAACTTCCGTGTGAAGGTGTCTTGTCCCCACCTGTGTTTGCATAATGGTGGAACTGTACTGTGGTCAGGAAGAGGTAACACTTTTCGGAATTCTCTCATCAGGAAGATGAAGGCATGATAAAGCCCCTCAAATCCAAGGCCCCGGTTTTACCTGTCATGCAGTCCAGGGAGCTACTTTTTGTCATTAAAGATGATGACACTGAGATGGTTTTGCAGTGTGGGCAGCCTTGCAGGTGACTCCATGCTTATGCATGGCAGTAACAACTGTGTCTTGTTTTCTGTAGGTCACCAATAAAAAGAGAATGGATCTTTTTTGAGCTTAAAGAAAGTGCCAATCCAGCCTTCCACCCTTTCTCAATGGAATAGTGTCTGTGTGACTTTTTGAGAAAGTATGTAGCCCAAGGTGAAGAGGTGCACTCTACTAGTTTAGTTGATATCATCTAGGAAAACATCAGCAATATCTCTTATACTACAAACCTAGACAAATGCCTCCTTCTCCCATTTCTCATAACTTAAGGTTGTCTCCTTTTATACTTCAGCAAAACTCTTTTAAAAAAAACAACCCACAGTTGCCTTTACCTGTTATCTCCAATTCTCACCTTTCCATTCTCTCTTGAATCCAGTACAGTCGGGCCTCCTCCCTCGCTACTGTGTCAAACCTCTCTGCTGAGGCCCCTGCGACTTCCATGTTACAGAGTCTGGTGATCCCTTGCCTGGTGAAGTTTTGCTTGATCTATCGGCAGCTTATCTCTGAGCCACTGTGATCACTAGGCTTTTGGAATACTGTCGTTTCTTAGTTGTGCCCTTGCTTCACTTGTTTTTCCTTCTTGGGCATTCGAGGAAATCATGACTGCGATCCTGGCTTTGTGCACAGTAAGGCTGCATGGTTTAGGGGATGATTTCATTGTGATATAGAAATCAGTTGACTCTTTCAATGAAATTCTATGTAACTGCAAGATCTGTCCATTTTGTTTCATCGAGACTCTTCCGCATAAAGGAAATCAGCTCCGCTGCCTGTGCAGCGCCACTGTGCACACGCAGTGCTGTAAGCGCAGGTGGCACCAAAGGACAAGCCATATGGAACAATAAACACTACACAATGAACATGAACAATAAATATGGAAGGTTGTGAATAAATATTTGCCTTGTGTATACAAGGAGTGCCTTTGCTTGTGGAGCAATAAGCAAGGGGTCATTCCTCCTTTCATATAATCCCATCTGCCCTCCAGAGAAGGACTCTTAGGAGTGGACTGAGTAAAGGGGGCAGGCAGAGGGAGGTAAGGAAGGGTCTTTTGGTTTTGTGAGGTCACTGACAAAACGCACAGCAGCCCAGACTGGACCCAGCGCTGAAGGGGATTGAAGGATCAGTTACCTTTATGCAGAACAGGCACCAGCCTTGGAAAACACCATCCACTCACCAGGAACACTTATCAGGCACGTTCTGTGGGCCAGGCATGAGGCAAGGCACTGGGGCTCAAAGATTAATAGGATACTATCCCCAGCTGTCCAGGTACTTGAATGCTTTGGACTTTTCATGGGATACCTGCTTTCCTATGACATGAATTTGTTTAAGGTTAGCTCCTTCTCAGTTAAAAGTGTTGTTTCTGGAAGCACACACAATAGAAAACAGCTTGTTATTATACAAGGGTTTGCTTCCTGATTGAAAAGTGAGAAGGAGCAGTGAGAACCGTGTGTGGAGAGGGGTCAAACTCTTTTTTTTGTTGTTTTCCTTGCTTAGATTAGGACTGTTTCCTAACAACAAATCAGCACCGATCAGTTGACAAGTAGCTGATGAGTGGATACCAATAGAAGGCACCAGGAGAGACTTAAGACAGCTGTGCGCATGAGCTCTTGAATCAGACTGCCTGGCTTCTGCCACTGACTTACTCTGTGACCTTGGAGAAGTTACTCAGCCGCTTTGTGCCTTAGCTTCCTCATCTAAAATGGGAATAATAATAGAACTTATTTCATATGTTGTTAGAAGAACTAAATGAGTGCAATGGCAATGTTAGCTAATTAGTTACTAGCCCCCCAGGCGGGGGGGGGGGGGGGGCGCAGGGGCCCTCAAACATTGCCTAGCATACAGTGAGCACTCAGTTCAATGGTGGCTGTTACATCCCATTACATTATGCATGTAAAATAGAAGTATATGACAAGATTACTATCAAGACCAAACATCCTATATAATAAAAGGCTAATATGCAAATCGACCAAACAGCAGAAC